TCACACCTTTACTTTTCCTACTGTTCATGTTTGTTTTATTCATTTAAATCCAGAATGGGGCACTAAACAATTTCGGGGAGCCTGTGCCTCCTTTGTTTATTCAGCCACAAAGCTAGAGCATTTTTTTTTATGTTGCCACGCATACTAAAAGCCACTTGGATGTGCATAAAAGAGCTCACACATTTTACACACTTTATAGCTGCACTGAACTTTAATTTACCAATAGTGTTTTGATGTCTGGCTTTTGGAAAAGCTGTCTGGAGGAACAGCACAGCATCAGGTCGCCCTATCCCTAATTAAATGCAATAAATTATAGTATATAATTTATATAATAGGTTATAATACACAGACATATTTTTTTAAATTCGGATTGTTCTTAACACAATTTTCAGAGATGAAAATATGTTCAGTTTTATAATGGAAATAACAAAAGGAAGTACATGATTATACAACCTAAATCTTATCTGAACAAAAACAACATATGAAAAAATGTAAACACCTTTTTTACCTTGTCGTTGTTTTAAATATATGGAAACATCAGCAAAGTTATTCCAGTATATGATGCACAGAAACAGTGTTTAAACACAGCTTTGTTGTTTATGTTCTCAGTGAAAAAGATTACACCAACGTAAGTATCAGAAGAATCAATCGCAAAGTTGCATAATTGTAATTCATATTTCTCAGTAAATCTAATGACTCTGCAACTGCTCTTAAATAACCCCAATATAATTCCACACAAAAATAATACTTTTAAAATTGAAAATCACAGTAATTTAATACAAAAACAGTATCTCAAGTTTATTCTGCTTTGTGGCCTCGCTGCTGTCTGAGGTTACACAGGTAAATCGTGAAAGCCAGTGCGATGCCTCCCAGAAACACTGTCCGTGCCACAGGGGGGACCAGAGCAAAGTTCACCGCCTGAGATGGTAGAAGAGATGAGAAAAGATAATTAATTCTACATCTGTGTGTGAATACGTATGTGGAGCCAGAAAGTGACTGATGATACTTCACCTGCATTGTTGACCAAAACACCACTCCAGTCTAAAGAGATAAATGTAGAGAACATTACATTTTATAATAGAATAAATAAATAATAATCTAATAAGGGAAACCTTCGACTGTCTGCGTACCTTGTAAGATGTCCAGAATTTCTGTCTCCAGTCTTCAAGAGGGTCATCTTTGTTTTCTAGTAAACTTAAACCTAAAAGGTTGAGGTGGCCGTTAAATGTTTTACTGAAACACATCAGGAACACATGTTGTGTGGAGAAGTACTGTTCAAACCCACTTTATTTTAAAGGTTTTTAAATCATGTAAAATGTGTAAATATGCATCATATCTGAATAATTTCTGTGAAATTTCAGCTGCACATGCAAATTTGTGGAGTTTATCGATAGGAAAACATTCAGTTCAACATGCAGAACACAGAGAACAAACTTTACAATAATAAATGAACAATGACTGAATGTTTATGTGGGTTTAAATGGACCATACCTTTTAAGGACATAACCCCTATGATTATGGTCAAATCAGTGCTGTACTACCAAAGTAATATCCTCAAAGTTAGGGGAGGTTATGAAGACATGACATGAAGAGGAGTTTACATTTACACACACATAAAGTATGTGAATAAAGTAAAAGGAGACATTTTGCAATTCTTTTTGGTTGCCTTGTCAAAATGTGTGGGGATCTTTCCCAATAAGATGTCTGTTGAATTCTTCTAGAGGGCAAACATTTTTTACTCAAGTAAACAGAGATGAGCGTTTTCATGCAGCTGCATTGTCAGCCATATTTATTAGTTTGGAAAAAAATCTAAATTTACAGCGAATTTATGGCAAATTCATCCTACAGCTTTGCGGATGAATTTAGACACCTATCTTTGATTGAAACCATAGTCTATCTTTGTAAAACTGGCCCATATTTCACAGGTCTTTCCAGAAAACTTCCCAGGAAATGAATAGGAAACTACAGACCCATAAAATAAATTGGTACCAGAATGTTTTATCGTCTGTAAGTACATAAGTGGAGATTTGAGGGGGCTGAATATTAAATAAAAAATCTGGGACTGTTGGAAAAAATATGGTTCAAGAAAATAACAGCAGCACCACAGACACCAGCATTTCTCATTTAGACTATAAAACCCAAACACAGCCACACATATCTATAATAAGCAAAACAAATGATTTAAAGGGGCTTTGTAACACACTTACCAATATAAAAGGCACTAATAGTGAGAGGAGCTGCGATCAGCTGATCCACCACAACTTTCCCTGTCACTGCCTTCACTCCGCCTCCCGGCAGCATCCTCTCCAGCCCTCTGAGCCAGTGGTAGTTGAAGTTGGCATGGAAACAGAAGCCGACAGTCGCCACTCGAGCCGTCTGACGCCAGTCGATGCCAGCTGGATCCTCTGATGTGGATCCTGCAGTGTGTTTCCCACCCAGCACACTCTGCTGTATGATGTCAGCAGAGGCAAACAGCACTGTGTATCCCAGGACGTTACTGATGTACGGATGGGCCTTGAACACAGCCCAGGCCCGGTTCATATTGACAAATCTGATCAGAGAAAGGATTAAAGCTGAATTCATTCATAATAAAGCCAGTGGTTATGACTCCTTTATATTATAGCATTCTTTAAGTGAGCAAAGCTTTTAAATAAATGGATGTTTAAGGAAGTTAAGCAAAATTAAAGGTATGGGTAATGGGGACCAAACTCACAGAACATTAGGGTGATCTAAATGTCATAATGAAAATCATAATTGCTGTGTCTTGAACTACTGTACTTTAAGTTATGGCTTTTATCCAAGAAGTAGTTGAACCTACCTTTCAGCACGGCTCTTCTCACCCTCTCACTAAAGCCAAAGAGACACAAGCTCTTTTCTGATTGGTTCTGTTGGACGAGGAGGAGCTGAGACGAATCTACAAGTGAAGGAGGTCTTCTTCCCACCAGGTCAAAGTTCTGCCGCTGTTGGAGAGAATGTGTGATAAGACCTTGTATCAGTCCTGAGAAAATACCACATGTGAGGGAAGTGACCAACAAAGCAATAACCTGCAGCAGACAGCAGAGAGGTTATGAAAAACACATCCTGTCGAGCTATTATACTGAATTCATGTACGTGTAGGCTGATATAATTGGCTGAAGCTCCATTAGCAGTGTAGATGAGCCCATTGCACACATTGTTTTGATGACACAGTGTGATTTATTACACCTCTTATACCTCAAGAGGTACTCCTCTGTCACTCTAGTAATTTTCCCTAATGCCAGTGTCAAACAGTGAATGTCACTTACCACAGATTTTTCTCATTTGGTGAAGTGTTGAAGTTGAGACCACAGCAGGACATTAGCTGTGCAGCTCTCTGCTCAGAGGCACATGTGGTGTCACTATAAATAGATGCCACTCCTGCAGCAATGCTCCCTTGCTTTGAGTAAATCTTTTAATTTTTTTTAGAGTAAAGAAAGAAGACAAGTTGAGTTGTTGCATTAAAGAGATAAAGTTACTTAATAACAGTTGAAATCCCTAGAAATGCTAAATGCATGACATTTGTAGTTTATACATTTTACACACATTTTATAACTTTTTAGCAGGTAAAACATAAAAAAACACTTTCCTGCCTTTAATATAAGTGTACACATGTAAATCCCAGTAAAAAGGAGAAAGTCATAAGTTTAAACATATTTATGAACTAATGGTTTTCATTATGCCAGATTTTAGTGGGTCTGCAGCCTCCTCAGAACCTCTTCGTGCACAAGATCCAAAGCAGACAGTTAACCAACCAACATGTTGGAGACTCAGGTTTTCTGGAGTTGCATCAAATTAAAGCTCTTCTGTGACAGTGTTAATGCAACTATAAAAGACATTATGCCGTTACAAACTCTGCTGTGATGTACCTAAAGGGAATACTGAGGAGGCGAGACAGTAATCTGCCAAAATTTAGCTTGTAGCCACCAAAAAGCTACATGAATTTAGTGTTAATCTGATCCTCCAGGAAAAGCAGAAAAGCTGATCCATCTTTTGAGAGTTAAAGGTCCAGTGCGTAACATTTTACATCTATCAGTAGAAATTGAATATAATATTCAATATGTTGTGTTTTTGTTACCTTAGAAAGAAGGGAGCAGGTCCTCTTCAGTGGAGGTCAGCAAGACAAGAGCAGACAATGTGGAAAAATTGTTTCCAAAATTGAAAACCCAACAAAAACTATATAATTGAAATAAGAAATGAAACTTGTTGTATTTTATTTTCATTCTCTCACTGTCTCTCATCTTTGTGGAAAAGACAGCCTCTATTCACCCACCTGCTGCCATAGATACGTACATTTCTGTATTTGGAAGGTGTGCTATTGAACTGCAAAGGTCAATTAAAGCCACTAGCAACCATCTTAGCTCTTCCCTCTAAGAATGTGATAATTAGGGCCAGAGTTTAAGCTGATCAATTAAGGGCTTGTTAACTGCCTCAACTGGTACGTTTGTGTCTCCCAGTATTTAACAAGCTGCCTTTAGTGCGGCACACAATGGAGAGACGTGTGCCTACACCTCCCCAAGCGGTTGACTTCTCAGATAATTGCCTCTTTCTTTTCAGAGCCTCTCATCGTGTCTCACTTCCTCTCCCACTATCAATTTGTCAAGTTGGGTTCTATTCATACCACTGGAAAAAAGGGGAATTTGTGCATTTGCATTGAGCTCTTATGTCACTTCACTTAATTTGCACACGCAGGCCCACAATACCTACATGAATAATTAAATGACCACACCTCTCTCTCTGAAGCAGCCCGCCTCCGAGTCCTCAGTGCAGTTTATAGAAAGATACAAGAGGACACACAGCAGCCTGAGGACGAATAAGGTAAACATGTTATTTATATTTTTCTATTTAGCTGAACAATGGGAAAATACTCCTTTATTGAAAATGTTAAGTAGAAGAACCTGTGTATTAACTTTACTTAAAGTCTCAAAAGTAAAATTGTAATGCAGAACATAGGTTTTATATGTATATATTTTGAGGGGCACTTTTTATGCCTTTATTTAGATAGTGACATGTTGGACATAGACAGGAAACAAGGGAAAGAGAGAGGGGGTGACATGTAGCAAAGGGCCACAGGTTAGTGCCTTGGATGCACACTCTGCACCCCAGTTATCTGTGTATAATATATTAAATGTGGTGTAATATTGATGTGTAAGCAGCATTTAATGTTGCAGCTGGTTGAGGTGAAGCTGATTTGAACTGTTTTAACTGTTCTGTTGGGTAGATTAACCTGTAGCTATGTTTTATATATGTTAAGCATATATTTTTGTATGTGGTTACTTTATCTGCAGTAACTACAAACTACAGCTGTGAAACAATATTTCCCTCCAACCTGTGAAGTAGGCTATAATGTACACATCTGAGCTCTCTTGTGCTGTTGATTAAAATGCATGATGAATTTTGTCAAGGTCAATAGCTCTAAAATAAATAATCCCTGAACATTTTCCTTAGGCCTGCATGTTGAGTCATTCAAAGGTTACACAGTATTGCTCAGTGTCCCTTTACCTACTCTCTGTAACTCCCACCCTCTCTTTCAGCCATGCGACCGTCTATATCTGTGACTCTTGAGCCCGGGTTGGAGCGAGGGGTCCCGTGGGGTCGTGACCTCTACACCTTTGTAACTTCAGCAGCAGGTCACATGATGAGGACTCTTCAGAAACCCCGGAAGAACCGACCGTCCAAGCGGCAGGTCAACCACCGACGCTTCCTGCACAACATGATTCAGAGGTGTGTTGGAGAGTCAGAAAAGCACTGATGTCAGCTGATATAAAAAATATAGAAACAGTTTGATCTTGGCGGTATGTTAACGCACTGGTTCCCAAACTGGTGGTCAGAACCAAGAAAAATGTGAGGGTCACCTGATGATTAGAGGGATTCTGTGAAACTGGATACTTTTCAGCTCTTCAGGCCTCTATAAATCCTACAAATTAAAAAAACGAATGAACTCTTGGCTACTTATCATGGTAACAAGTAGACTTTGCTTCATTTTAAAGGAATAGTTTGACACTTTCATGCCAATAATTATATTAGAATATCATTACCTCTCACTTATCTGTACAGTGAATACACACGGTTGTCTTAGCTTAGCATAAAGAGTTGAACCTGAAGGAAACAGCTAACCTGGCTCTGTCCAAAGGTAACCTTACTTGGCTTCATTGTCGTCAGCATGAGGCTGCCAGGCACCCAGCTAAGAAATAGTCCTGCATGTAACCTCCCATAAAACCAGGACGTGTCTTTTTTTTTACTTTGGTTTTTGTTTTGAAACAAGATATAACCTGTTCACAGCAGACAGATGTTGTAACCAGAGCCAGCTATTTACCTGTTCCCAGTCTTTGTGCTAACTAAGCTAACTGGCTGCCTGCTGTAGCTTCATATTTACCGTACAGACACAAGTGTGGTATCAAGCTTCTCGTCTGGGCAAGAAAGCAAATAAGTATTTCTTCCTAAACTATTTCTTGGAGTTAAAAAGTTATAAGTGTTGGGAACCACTGTCTTAAGGCATTTTGAAAACTACTCTTATTCAACATTTCATCTTTCTCCTCGTCTGTCTCTCTCAACAGAAAGTTTGCAGATATAGAAGCAGCAAACCACCAGCTAGCATCTGCTCTTTATTTTAAGGAAGAGGGAAAAAACGTATCTTCTCTGCCATCGCAGAAGCCAGAGACACTTGACCAGTCAGGTAGCCCCTCCCAAGGAGGTTATCCACAGGATCCAGATAAATGCAGTGTTCACACAGGTGCAGATGGCATCTCTAAGCCTAGGAGTGACATCCCTGTTGGCTCACGTGAAACCGAAATCAGTGAAAAGAAGCAGCAAAGCTCGGGAAATCTTTGGAAACGGCATATCAAATCACAGCCCACCACCTGCACCGCTAGGAAGAACAACCAGAGCAAAGGGAGACAGAAAAAAGAGAGTAGAAATCACAAACTGGTTGAATTCTCATCTATGAGCTCCCCAAAGGGTATAGACTACTACCACGGGGCAGAGCTCTTTCAGACTGAGTATTACGACGATCAAAGTTCAATAAAGTCAGCCAACAACCTTTTAGAATACCCTCAGACAACTCAACAGGACTCTGGTTTCATCCAGTTCGACCAAAACGTGGACATCTCCCCTTTCCTCTCTCCGCTGTCTCTTGACTCTTGCGACTTCTCGATCCAAATGCTAACAGACATCTCAACCTGCACACAGGCGCAGAGGAACATCGCTGACCTTACAGAGAGTCAGTGGACAGATATTATGGATCTGTTCAGCAATAAAGACTTAGGAGGCTGCATGGATGTAGAGGCCTACTTCGAAAGCGTCTGTGCGTGCCAAGGTGATGCTGGGCAGGACGTCGGTGCAGATGATGCTGGATTTGAAGATCAGTTTAATAGTTTCACAGAAAGGATCTGCAGCAACATATCTGAGGTGGAGGATCTACACTGTGGGGCAGGTGAATACAGATATGAATATGGATACAGTTGTCATGGGGATCAGGAACTGACCGTAAACCACTTCCAAAATGAGGACGCTGCAGAAACACAGTTTAACAATTTAAAGCCATCTCAAGGGACAGACATCATCCAACACCAGCCCCCCACATCGATCAGCTACCACTACGATGCCTCAGAGCTGCAGACGTACCAGCGTCCTCAGGAAGAGAGTCCCTGTATGCTGGTAAATTACCAAAACGTTACACCTTTTGAGGGTGTTGCTCAATCATTCTCTGTCCCACTTCATAATCCTGAGCACCGTCCCATACCAACCCTGCCGCAGGAGGATGACTGGCTGTTCACGGACATATTAAAGGACAGAAAGTCACCTGACTGCTAATTTGTCTTTTTTTATTGAGGGTTTTTCTTTTGCTTATTGAATGTGTGTAAAAAAAAAAAGAAATTGATGACTTTGAACAGTGATTCATGGTTTCTGCTGTAAATGTTGAGGAGCTTTTAGGAGGTTAAACAAAGGTGTGATGCGCTTTTGGATTTTTCCCTTAATTTGAATGTTTGAAGATCTTGATTTGAATGTGATTATAAATCAGAGGTCTTTTCAGGATGAACAAACATTGCTGGTTAAATTGTAAGCAACTTGTTATCTGTAAATACGTGTGAAAGGTGAAAGGAAAAGGAATCAAAAAACTGTAACAACATACTGTATGTTTACAGTATAAAGGTATGCTATACCTTTATCTTACATACCACAAAACTTAGATTCATTTTCTCTGTAAAAAAAAATCTTTCATTATCAGAGCCTTGAAATTGAGTTTAATGTTTTTCTCGGATTCACTTTACAGCCAAATATTTTCTTTAAGCGCCTATTAATTTAATTAATTTATTGATTTAAGACTTTTAGTGCTTACTTAAAGGGAGGTGCACTAGAAACATGCTTATATAATTACACTAACAACATGCAAGGTGAGATCAAGATGAGCTGTATCCTGTATTGTGTTTGTATTATGAGCACTTTTAATGTCTTTTTTTGTCTTGTTGTGTTTTTAGTTTTTATGCGACAAAAATATTTTCCACTTGTGAGGAAAACAGTGTATTTACACTGAAAATATTGTATTTACAATCAACGAAAATGATTTTGCTTGAGATTCAACCACAAATTCAAATGTCTTTTTTCAGTTCAAACATTACATACTCTACCTACATTTTATTTGCTCCCTTTTTTAACAAATGTATGTATGTTAAAGCTTTTAACAGTTACTTGAGCTAAGCCTCAATTATTGATTACAGTATTATTGCCCATGTTTGAAATGTTAATGTTTAAGGTGGTGACAAATATACTAATTACATAATTACAATAAACAACAATAAATGTTGTTATAAGGCTAATAACTCCTGTTTCCTAGTGTCTAAGTAAAAGTGGCAAAATTGGAACACAAAAGTAATCCATTACAAGTAAAAGTACAGTATAAAAGTATTGTGGCAAAATGAACTTAAAGTAACACAAAAGTACTCATAAAGCAATATAAAATGGCCCCTTGTGAGTGTTATTGGACATTATTAGATGATTATTAGTAGCATTTTACAGTTGTAGCTGGTCAACTTTAATTTTAAGTTCTTTTTATACTGTTTGTAGCTGAATCTACAAAAATGCATCATATTTTCTAAACTGATGATAGTTACTATCATCAAGTAACTTGTAGCTAAAGCTGTCAGATACATGCATCACAAAGTACAATATTTTCCTCTGAGATGAATTGGAGTTAAAGTATAAATTTGCAGTAAAATGGGAAAACCAAGTACAGCACAAGTACCTCAAACATGTACTTGAGTAAAGGTACTTTGTTACTTTCCACCTATGATGAGTATGTGTGCGTGGCCCAGCTCGTGATCTCAAAGAAACACACACACACAACAGATCAAAACCAACGACATATATTAAAGTTAACCCCAGTCAGATGTTTTTATAATTACAGCATCATTAACAAAAAAAAGGCTAAAACAATAAAACACATTTATCCAAAATGTTTCAAGTTCCACAGTAGCCATAAACAAACACAGAGAGAAAAATAACACCTTAGAGAAGCACCAGCCTCGTCTCTTTGCTACAGATGAACAGAACTCATCTGTTCTCGTTCCAGCAGTTCAATCCACGTGTCTTCAGATTTTGGTCTATCAAGGCGCGAACAAAGTCGCCACGTTCAGACGTTGATACGACATTCTGAGATTACGACATTTAAGTGAACAGTTCAGAGTGATGTCAGCTCATTTGGCTTAATGCTATGTCGGCCTCTTCGAGATAAGTTACAAACCCGACAAAGCAGACGTAATGTGCCGACAATGTCCGGCTGTGTTTATCTCCACTGGTCATGTGTAAAGTGCAGCGTTTTACACAATATCTTAAAAAAAACAAAGCGTCAAACAAAATCCTTTGCATATTGCTAAAAGAAAAGAATTGTACATACAGGAAATAAAAAATAAAAACCCTTTAATAGGGCGTTGAATATATGTCGTCAGTAGTCAAACTCTTTCTCGACCCAGCTGGTTTGATCTTCACCTCTCTCTAACTGTGAATCATGGTGAAACCTGGCAGGAAAAAAAACTGTCTGCAATTATGGATAAAGATGGAACGTTAGTACTGTACACGGTTTTTGTTCTTGCTCTGTCAGTGCAGATGTTATCTTTGCTGTTTCATTAAAATATACACCTTTTCATCTAAAACTGAAGGAAGAAGAAGGGAGCGGTAATGACAACCCTGATTACCGAAAACTACTGAACTGGTCCTGCGCGTAATCAACGGTAAACACCAACATGATCATTATTCCATTGCCATATAATATATACAGTATATAACCAGAATAAAAAGAAAACATTCAGAGCCATAAACAACATTTCAACCATCTTTTTCTTCCAATTTCAAGTTAAAGTGACATTCTTTCAAATTTAAAGGCTCTACATTTTATAAATAGACTTATTCGCTTTCTTGTCGCGAGTTAAACGAGAAGATCGATACCATTTTTTATTTTCCTGTGAAATAAACATGAAGCTACAGCCAGAAGATCTTTAGCTTAGCTTAGGACAAAGACTGGAAGCGGGGGGAAACAGCTAGCCTGGCTCTCCCTAATAACACAACCCATCTACCAGCAAAACTCACCAGTTGGCATGTTTTATCTTAATCCGTATAAAATAATCAATGTGTGAAAATGTTTTTTTTCTTACAGAAGTTGTGTGTCGAACCAACTGTTTCCAGTCCTTATGCTAAGTTAAGTTAACCAGCTACTGGCTGTAGCTTCGTACAGACAAAGTGGTACCGATTTTCTCATCTAACTCTCAACTCAAAAACTAGACCTCACGTTAACTTCCTGGACAGCCTTAAAGCTATGACAGGCAAACAGGTGCAGAAGAAGGTCAAGTTAACAATAAATAAAACATGCTGAGGAAAATGGAGATGTTTCAACTAAATAAAAACATCTTTAAAAGCAGGTTTGACAAAATAACATTGTCTGTCTCACAGCAGGGTCATCAAGCTACTTGTGTGTGGTTGACACACACACGTCATTTTGAGTTCATAGCTAGGGTAAAAAAAACAAACTACTTTTTGTTCTATTCGCCATTTGCTTCATAAAAACTCATTCCTCTGTGCCTCCATTGTCATTTTTTTAACTAATACTACTAGTATCTGAAAATGGTTTGAGTCACATGCTCAGTTATTCTACAATCTCTGACACAGGAACTGTGAGGAGAGAGATTATTCTACTAACAATAACTCCAGTAGAGTCACTGGATGATAGTAGAATACCTAACCAGCTTTGACACCTGTCATCTACTCTATTCTACTGCTACTCTACGTTTACTACAATTTTAAGTCCCTTTTTCTCATCCATACGCCCACCATTTGGTTAAACACACAAAAAAAGCTTTGTTTGATCAATAATTTACACAATTACTCAGTAAAAATCAAAATTACAATGTACAAGATGCTTGTCTAAATAAAATGTGTTGTGTTTATCAGTCTAAAATGAGAAAGAAAAGATCCATTGTCACTACTTTGGATAAAATAATCAATTAATACAGTTCTCTACGGGTTGTTTCTAGCTGTTAATGTGATAGACACTCAAACTCAAACCACCAGAAAGGTCTTCCATGCAAATTCACACCTCTGAGACCCGATGCTGTGACGCTGACTGAAACTGAAAAGTCTGAATCATCGGTGCCAGCTGGGAGCAGAAATAGTCAGGCTAACATGCTTCCCCCCAACAAGTCGTACAGAAAATAACCAGCGATCAATAACTTAAGTTCACATTGGATATAAATTATACAAATTCGAATTTCTGAAGCAATATGTTAAAACTTTAGTTAAGGTAACTATCTAATGCCTAATACCTACTGCTTTGTCTAACAACGTACTGTTTCTAATCTACAGAGAAAGGATTTATCACTTAATACAACTTTAATGCAGCTGTACCGCACGTAGGCTGCTTTTTATGGTCGGTTGTTTGCGTCTTTACAATTTTAGACAAATTATATGAAAATGAGATAAATATGTTATAGAACTTATTGTAATGTGTCTGATCACCTATTTCCAATATAAGTTAAATTAAATATTGGTTACTAATCGCAATTTCTCTTTTTCGCCCACAATGTCCGCCACTGCTGACATATTGTCTGTCCTCCACTAATTTCTGTTTGCTGGATTATTCAAAGTTTCTCAATCCTGTTTTTATTTTTTTATTCTTTTTATTGACACATGAAAATGTCAGAAATCACATTTGCACTTAACACGCTCTCGTAAAGAAGAATTCTCTGTTCCACGTGTGTGTCTGACGCCTCTTGTTAACTACTTTATGTAACACATAGATTGTCTTTCAGAAGTATTTCCACCCTCCTGGAGCCCTTTGTGAAATCAGATTGTATTTATCTTCATCAAAGGGTTTAAACATGGCTTAGTTTTTAAATACCTCCTAATGTAAAAGACATAACCACCATAATGTTTCCTGCCCTCTAATTACTGTACAGCATCATGAAATCAGTTGATAATAATTCACTTTCCCCTTTGGAACTCTGGGAATTGTAGTCTAGTTTCTCAGAAGTGCATTACAGAGGTGTAATGTAGAAATTTCCAGTCTTTGTTGTGTAGTTTTTTTATGTCACAGTTTGTTACAAAATAAAAATCAATTCTAGCTGACTCTTTGTAAAATCTAATTTTTACACTTCTTCAGATTTTCGGTGAGTTATACCGCCTGATGTTTGCATCCTAAATGACTTTGTTTACTTTGATAAACTACAGTGTTATGTACTGTGTGCCTCTCACTCCTTCACCCCTGAGTAGTCGAGGCTGTGAGAGCAGATATGTGTGTGTGTATGTGTGTGTACATCATGTATGTAACTGAGTCTATGTGTGCGTCACTCTGTGTTGTTGACGCTGTAGGGCGGTGGAGGGTCCATGCTGTGTTCAGAGGAGGGAGTAGGGGTCCCTGGGAGTCCAGATGAAGGCGTTGGCGAGGCGGGGGGCTCCTCCGAGTCAGAGTTCTCCAACGAGAGGTCGTCCACCAGCGCTCTGCGTCCACGCATCGCCAGGGGCAACGGAGCACGCCTGGACGAGAATGAGACAGTTACAGCATGTCCTGTGCAGCGTGAGATTTCTCTGGAAAACTACTGAATTGGCCTGAATATAAGATGATTATATGTAAGTAAGATTAAGATATGAGATGTTTTGAAGATACAAAAAACTTTTTAGACTTTTTAGATTGGTCCTGTTAGTCCCTAAGATAATATTAGTCCAAGAAGAAGAGTCCTTGTCAAACTGAAACATGAAATGTTTCCATTAAAGAAGAACTTTCATTTTCACTGTGATAATGATTGTCTAATGCTGTTATCATGTTTCAGTTTGCTCCTCATAATGAGACTGTGGTTCCGTTTCTGCAGTAAAGACGTCGGCTGCCACTTTTGACTTTTAACTCTTTCTACTTTGTAGGTAAAACACGGCCTCCTTAACACCTTTAGGGCTGTAACTCTAAAAGACACACTAAAAACAGACATGAAGACACTCAGTAACCCTAAAACATTCAGGCTACAAACAACCCATAATTCAACTTTGTAAGAGCCCGTGTTACACCGGTACTTTGTGCATTCAAAAAGAGTATCTGCTGTTGTGAATAGATACATATTCTGCCCTCGAATATAATACAAGCCCTACTTTTTCACACATAATTTCCACAAAAAATATAATGTAACATTGTCTTGTATTCAGCCCGGTGGATCGGCCTTTTAATTACTTAAAACTAGGGCTACTCGATTAATCTGTTGATTATTTTCCAATGAATCAATCAATACATTAAGTCTAAAAAGTGCCTGCAAATTGCTTGTTCTGTCCAACCAACCAGAAGATTCCTCATTAACAAAGATATAAAAATGCAGTAAATTTTCATTCTTGAAAAGCTGGAAACAACAAACATTTGCTTGATAAATTACTTAAATGATGAATCAATTAGTAAATAATTGTTGCCAACGTATTTTCTGCCTACTGACAGATCAATTAAAACAACTATAGCTATTTGTTCTGAGGAGAACCACAGAACAAATGTGGAATAATAGAGTTTAGAAACACTTTAGCAACAAAGATTATGATCAAATCAACTGAATGACATATATTATGTAACTAAAGAATTTCACAAAACTTATGAAAACAATGAGAAACATCCAAGACATGTACTATATGAACTGTACATGTACCCTTCAGCGCTCACACAAATAATAAAAATATGACAGACACAGTGACCTACTTATCTGGTCTCCATTCAGGGACGCTGAGTGTTGGTGTGACGGAGACAGATGGACAGTTTGTCAGTGTTAGATGGACACAAAGGGATGCAACAAAAGAGCAAAGCAAAACAAATCATACCAAGTTAATGGGGGTTAAAAACAAACAAAACGACAATAAATGATGATAACTGAAACACAGAAAATGCCTTCACACACCCACACACAAACAGACAGATGTGGTTACCTGAGCTGGCTGCGGAGAGTGGTGATCTCTCGCGTCATGCTCTGACCGCTGTCTGTGAGCTCCTCCAGCTCCCTCTGCAGCTTCCTCCTCTGGGCATTGGAGCGCGAGTTCTCCTCCTCCACCTCCTCCAGCTGCCTCTTCAGCTGCTTCAGGCGGACCATTGACTTATCCAGCTGGAGGAGGAGGGGAGGGGGGAGGAAGAGGATAGAGGAGGGGAAGAGGAGGAAAAGAAAAGAAGGTATTGCAGAGGTCGGGGTGAGACACGCAAGGTCGGAGGAAAGAGGGGAACAAGGAAAGAAGAGAAGGGGGTGGATATATAAAAAGAGAGATTAGTCTGGGAGCAGGAGAACTGATAGGGATCAGGAGTCAGATTAAACCTGGCAGATTATCACCGATGATGTTTTGGGAGGAGAGTCTGTGTCTCTGCTGTGGTTGAGGGATTTAATTTTCAGAGTGGTATGCGTTCTACCTTCCCAATGAACACACAGATGCCAGTGCGGGATTAGGATTAAGTTGGATTGAGCCGGATGAATCACTCATTTTAGGATGATTTTTCAACACTCTCTTTGTGCCCTGGGGCAACAATTAGAGCAGTGAGCTTAGCTGAGCTGACCCCCATTAAATGATTATTAAATGCTCTGTCTCTGGCTATACTATTCTGTGTATCCTCTTGTGGCTCACTTTAGCTGATTAAGTGGTTCGTTTTCTTACCTGTTCTCTGTACTGGTCTGCGTGTCGTCTCTCGTCTTCTGCCTGCATCATCACCTCCTTCAGTTTCTTCTCTGTCTTCCGCACTAGTTTGTTGGCAATGGCTCGTTCCCTGAGAGATACAAATGTTCATTATAAGCTACCTGTTGCACCAAGCAATTCAATACAACATTAACTTCTAATTGTGTTTAGAGGCATTCTGCTAGTTTTTTGGGGGATAGTTTAATGAACTAAAAATCTGCATTACATATAACACTGTTCAATTTGTAACACAAAAAATAGTTTTTATTTTATTTTACATCCCATATTCCACATTTATGTCTCATTATTGTAAACAGTTGACAGCCTTAAAAGTGGTAAAATTAATTAGTTTCTTATAATAGTTGTTTCAAATTATATTCACAGTGTGGTTTGTGTGGGGCCAAAAGAAACAACAAAAAAATACAAAAATACAAACAGGAAGTTGTTATAGAGTGGCCTTAATTCACCCTCCCCATTATTGTGTTAATTTATTTAAATTACCTAAATAATGTGACATATATTTATTGAGAGTTCAAAATAATAAAATGTACTTTGTTGAGAAAATAACCTATATCTAGTAAACTTGTATGTATAAATTATTGCCTATAATGTTTTATCTGCATGTCTGTTTCTTACTGTCTCTCCTGTTCCAGCTGCTCCTCCATCGACTCTATCTTGGCCTCCAGGGCGGCGACACTGAGCCTGTGTTTGCCCCTAACTGCTCCCTCCATCTCCCCCAGTCTTGTCTTCAGCTCCTTGTTCTGCCTTTCCAGCTGCTCTCGAGCTGCCTCTGCCTTCTGGGCCAGAGTCCTCTCTCCCTGCAGCTGCACAGTCAGAGTCTCCACCTGTACCACAAGCAGAGCAAAAATGTTGATTTATGCTTGCATACATGTCTGTCGTGTGTGTGTGTGTGTGTGTGTGTGTGTGTGTGTATGTGCAGCTACATCTACTGTACCTGTAGTGCAGTCTTCCTTTGTCTCTCTGCTATCAGTTCAGAGTTACTCTGCTCCTCCTCCAGCTCCTCTTCCAGCTGACTGACTCGCGCCTCTAACCTCCTCTTCTCTTCAAACAGTGCCGTCCTGGACAAACATACAATTTTAATAATAGTCCTCACACCAAGAACACACTAACACTGTATATCTGTAGTAAAGTGACACTAACTTTCCAGCACTGCTGTTGACCATCTCATCGGCCATCTCGTCTCTCTCCTGCTGAGCCTGTCTCCTCTGCCTCTCCGACACAGAAAGCTCCTACACAGACAAATGTATGCAGACATTGGGTTAAATAACTTTAAAAAGATCTTAAGAGCATTAAAGCATTAAATACTTCTGCTGGGTTTCAGTTAAATACACTCACCTCTGTGAACTGCAGGACTTCTGCTTCCAGTGTTTGGATCTTCTTTTCGCTGTCTTTCGACTGTGCGATGACCTCATCTCGGGCCAGCTTGGCCTCATCTAGCTCGCGCAGAATTTCCTTCATTTGACCCTGTGAAAAATACAGATGGTTTTTTTTTTAAATGCAGGCCACTGACAAGTAAAGAATCAATGTTTACATGTGGCAAAATGTTAGGTTATATCTTACCTGCAACCTCCGTAGCTGCTTCACAGCCTCCTCTTTTCCACGGGTGGCGTTCTCCACCTGGGCCTCGGCTTCTTGCAGTTCTGCTTCCAGCTGCTTCTTGGACGACACAGACTGTGACCGCTGACTCTTCTCCTCTTCCAGCTGGATCTCCAACTCTCTCACCTAGCAAAGGAAGGAGGGCAACATTTTGAGTGATTTGGAGAGGAGGAAACACCTTCTGTGATTTCTTATTTCCTTCCCCTCTCTACCTGTTTGCTGAGCGCCCTCCTCTTCTCCTCTCCCTTCTCCTCACTGGTGCTGATCTCTCTCTCAAACTGAGCCTTGAGTGCCTGCAGGGTGACCTCCAACCTCAGCCTTGAGTTCTCCGCCTCCGACAGCTCCTCCTCCAGCTCTTGCGTCTGAACTCGCAAGTTCTGAGCTTCTGTTTCTAAGTTCCTGCGGGTCCGCTCCAGCTCGTGGACCTAATGCAAGAGCAGATAAGAGGCAGTGACTCACTGAGGACTGAGACTTAGAAAAAGCAAAGGAGCCCCATGAGGAAGACTCTTACGCTCTTGCCGACATCATCCTGCTGGTTTACAAGTTGTTCCATTTCCAGACGGAGCTGCTTGTTGGCCCTCTCTAGCTCTTCCCTCTGGTCCTGGGCCTCCTACACACAGAAACACAGATAAAGATTAATCACCACAGTCGCAGATACGTAAGCAACATTTTTGTATTGTCTGCTCTCAATTAGTTTACCTGCAGGGCTCGGGAGAGTGCCAGATATCTTGTCTCCTTCTCTCGGCTGTCTGCTTCTGCTCTGTCCCTTTCCTCTGCCAGCCGAGCACTCACAGCCTTCTCCTCTGCCAGACACTGAGGGGGCGAAGGGGACAAAAGGTCAAGGGAAGCCATTTTGGGACTATTTACTCATATTTTTGCAGCCTGTGTGTCATTGCAAAACGATGGTTCGGACCTGGTCGAACTTCTTCTGCCTTTTCTCCAAGGCCGTGCAGTTCTGTCTCTCTCTCTGCAGGGCAAGCGTCATGTCCTCTATCTCCTCCCTCAGTCGCTCCCTCTGCCTCTCCACTCTTTCCTTCTCCTCCTCCTTCTGTCGCTCCCTCTGGATGGCGCTGTCCAGCTCTCTCTGGAGTTTCTTGCGTGTCTCCTCTCCCGCTTCCACCGCAGTGTTCACCTCCTCTGACTGCTTACGGAGCTCTGCCAACTGCAGAAAAATAAATGTAATATGAGAAACCTAGATGTGATATGCACCTGTGTTTTTTTTTTTACTGTGTTTTTGTGATATATGATGAGTAATTTTGATCTTTTACTGCTGTGAAATGGTCTGGTTTAACATAAATTAATTGACTGACATGTATTTCAAAGTGATGAAGCAGCAGCACCGGATCTAAACAAAGCCTGCATGGGTATCTGATTTACCTGCTGGGTATGAGTCTGAATCTGTCGGGTCAACTCTTTGGCTCTCTCCTCCTCCTCCTCGAGTCTTTCCATCAGTCCGTTCTTCTCCTCCTCCAGCGCTCGCACCCTCGAGCCCAGAGCCATCTTTTGACGAGTTTCATCTTGCAGCAATTCCTAAGAGAGAAGAGGGGACAAGAGTGTCAGCCAAAGCCTGGTGACAGTCTGTGCATGTGTGGGTGTTTTTGAGTCAGGAGCCAATTTTCCTCAATTCAAGAGGAGGATTTAAGACATTTAAGATGTTTTTTTTTTTACAAACATCTGTCATTCTCTCAACTATAGGAGAAAGTGCTAGTGTGAAAGTGTTTGTAGCCCAAAAAACCAAAGCCTAACATCACATCTGACCCGTGTATCTGTGTGTGTTTCACTTTGTTACCTTTGCATCATTAAGCTGACTCTCCAGGCTGCTGACCTCTTTCGAGAGCCGGAGGGATTTGGTGTCAGAGGAGGACAAATTGCTGGAGATAGCCTCAATCTCACACTGAAAAAAGACAGAGAGTAAATAAAGGTCAATTCATCTGAATGAATGGAAGAGGATCTCTTCACTGCAGAACCAAAATCTTTTTTTTGGGAGGTTCAAAACATACAAAGCAACTAAACATATGATAACGTAGAAACAGTATTTAGAAGAAAACCCGCTCCCTCTATAGATAAAAACGTCTCATTGTAAGGTAACGATAACACAACAATTCTTGACTATACACTAATGAAAACATACCTGTGAATATTATATTACATTTCTGTCAATAGGTCTTCCCTAAATGTTACCCACTGGACCTTTAAGGTTTAATATTAGTGGGTTTGTATCCATTAGCACCTGCAACTTGTGGACTCGCTCTTCCCTCTCCTCCCTCTCTCTGTCAGCCTGAGCCAGTCGGGCGCTGAGCTCCTGCAGCTGACCCTCGGCCCTCTTGCGGCCTCTCTCGCTCTCCGTGCGGCCCGCTTGGAGGCTCTTGAGCTCTGAGGTCAAATTCTGCCTCTCTTCCTCCAACACGGCCTTGGCCTTCTCCAGGGACTGACGTGCCTGAAAGAGAACATGGAAGATGGCGCGTGATGAGCGATGGCTTTTTGGATGTGTGTGTGCATATGTTTATGAATGTGTGTGTTTCTCTTACTCTCTTGCTGTTGTCTAGCTGTTCCTGGAGGTTGTCTATGGCAGCACTGTGTTTGACTCTGAGCTCTGATAGCTGTGCCTCATGGCGGCGAGTCTCCTCTTCAACACACCGCTGGAGGTCATTTAACTCCGCCTCCCGACGAGACCTGTGTAGATGGAAGAGGAAGGAGGTCAAAGGGTTTTTTATTGTACTCTCTTTTTCAGTCCTGATCCGACAACAGAAACACAAAAAGTGAACTTTTAGAGAATTTATATTTGTATTGTTCACCTTAGCTCCTGCTGGGCAGCTGTGGTGTCCAGAGTGTCCTCCAGCTCAGTTCTTAAAGCCTCCAGCTCCTCGCCCAGGTCTCGCCTCTGTTTCTCCGCCCTTTCCCTCATCCCTCGTTCATTCTCCACTTCTTCCTTCAGCTCAGACACCTGGGACATGGCCTCCCTCAGCGCCCTCTGAGCCTCTGAACGACGTGCTCCTTCTTCCTCCAACCTGCCAACAACAGAGAACAACAGATGAATTAGTGTAGTGTGACAAATCTATGAGAAGCCTTTATTTGTGTCACTGTGTGTGTTATATGTTGTCCTATGTCTCACCGGCCCTGCAGGGTGGTGATTTCTTTCTCCTTCTGAGCCAGACTGCCCCTCAGCTCAGCGGCCAGCATGCCCAGGTCTGAGAGCTGCTCCTGGGCCTCCACCGACTCGTTCTCCATCCTCCTCCTCCACTTCTCCTGCTCCAGGCGACCCTGCTCCTCACGCTTCAGGCGTTCTGCACAGAATTGTAGAATTGAAAGATTACAAACTGCAGTATTTCAACAGCGAAAATAGACAAAAGTTGGATAACAGGGATGCCAGAAGTAACCAGTCAACTACTGATTATTAATCAACACCCAGAAAAAAATTAATTGACAGCAAGTTTGATAATTGATTAATCATTTAAGTTTTTTTAAAGTTAAAAAAATCCCTTGTTCCACCTTCTCAAATGTGAATATTTGGTGCATTCTCCAGTTTTCCATGATAGTAAACTCAACATCATCTGGTTGGACAAAACTAGACATTAGAATATATTAACTTGGGCTTCAGGGAATGATTACAGGTATTTTTCACTATTTCCTGACATTCAGACACTTACCAATCAATTGACAGTTCTCTTATGATGCAATAATACTGCCTCAGGGAAGTTTTTTATGTGTTAATTACTTGACACGCAGAAAAGAATTAAAGCAATTTGATGTAATTGGAAGGGATGGAAAGCTGCTTTGTCTTAAGTAGGGAAATAGTTATATTGTATAAACTTCACATTGGGTCATAAAAACTTGAATAAAATGTCTTTCAAATATATAAAGTACAACTTCTCAATCTCAATACAAATGAAATTTGACCCAGTAAATTTAAAACCATCCCATCCAAATCAGAAGGATTGATCACTGCAGGTTGCCTGTAAAATGACAGTTACCCTCTAGGTCAGCGATGACAGCTTCCTGTTTGTTCTTGAGTTTGTTCAGACTTTTGGTCTTCTCCTCTTCCTCAGTGAGCTGATCGGTCACCTCACTCAGACGCTCCTCCAACTGTTTCTTCTCCTGCTCAGAGAAAAATAAAAATATAGCATTGGATCATGAAACATGTATAAATATAATATATGTGTATACAAGAATGCACAAAAAACAAGTTTTCCATTTGACATAACAGTGTCAGAACAGGACAAAGCAGATACTAAATACTTACTGTATATATGGGGGTTGTTAGAGAATAGTGAAAGAATGTTTTATTATTTTAACATTCACACATGATGATGTGTTAGAAAAAGAAGTTTTAATGTAATGCCCACCTTGCTGAGTCGGTCTCTCTGCTCCACTGCGTTCAGCAGGTCAGTTTCCAGGCTTTTCACTTTGGTCTCCAAGGTAACCTTCTCCAGCAGGAGGCGCTGTCGGGCGCTTTCCTCCTCCTCTAACTGCTCCTCCAGGTCCTGGCAAGGTGAGAAGATTGAAAGGCATTGATGGAAAGAAGAGACAGCTTTAAGTAAACTTTAGTTTTCATGTAACATTAAAGATTTATTTTGTTTTCATGAGAAAGCTAATCTGGCAGAAAAAAAAACTGATCAGTCTGTATTAGTTTCTGTTTACAGAGGTCACTTGTGTATACCTGTATATTCTGCTGCATCCTCTTCTTCTCATTGGTCAGCTGCGTACCTCTCTCCTCCTCTTCTTCCAGTCGACTCTCCAGCTCGCCCAGCACTTCCTCCAGCTCCTGTTTCCGGCTGGCCAACCTGGCCCTCATCTCCTCTGCCTCCGCAAACAGCTCCGCCTCCGCCTGCAGCTGGTCAGCCAGGACTGACTTCTCCTCCAACAACTAGAAACGTGACAAAGAGAGGAGGAGGAGGAGTGATGAGCAAGGCATTGATTCATAGCACAGGGGTGGACAGGCAGCAAAACAAAGTAGAGGTATATTAACCTGAGCATGTTTCCTGTCCAGCTCCACGTAATCCTGCTCCACTCTTGTGAGATTCTCCTTGGCCTTCAGAAGCTGGGTTTCCCTAACTTGGATCTCCTCGTCTTGCCGGGTCACCTGCAGCAGGGGCTTCACCTGGTTGGCACAGAACAAGGGTCAATGTGAACGCCATGCATAAGGCATGCCTGCGTCCCCTATGATTTTATTTCCTGCATCGGGTTGATTGTATTTTTCTTCTCATTTTCCAGGATTTAAAGTCATGTTATTTTTCTATTGCCAAGTTCTAACACCCAAACCAGTTCCTTCTTTCTTATTTTTACTGTCACAACTGAAAGAAACCGAATCAAAGTAAAAGAGAGTAAAATAAACTGAAACTTTTTCGCCATTTCTCTCCACCCTTGCAGATTGTATTAGTGTATATTTCATGTCTATGTTGTGTGCACAGTACCTTGGTGAACAGCCGCCACCACTGCCAGTTCCTGAGTTTGAGGTAAGCAGCACAGTTCCTCTGCATCACCCTCAGAGCGCTCAGCTGCTGCTGCTTCTTCATAAAGGCTCTGAAGCGTAATAAAAATGAATAAATCAAATTAGCTTTACCTCAAAAAAATGACAGCTCAAACTCTTAGTGTTAAGTAAACATTTTTAGAGAAAATTACATTTTCAAGCCTTTTACAGAGTCATTAATCAACAACTTAATGCTTATTAAAGGCTTCACTGCCTTTCTGACATGTGCTCTACTTCACTTTCCTACTAACATTTACACTGCTCAGTGAGGGGGCAGTAATTAAACTGAATGACTGGTATCACAAGGTAGTTTGTTGTCAAGCTAAAAAGCAAATTACTTTGCATTTGTTTTTATGTTGTTTTTCTTTCTTTATATTATTACGTAAAAATGCCTTTGTGTATGAAATGTGCTGTACAAACTTGCCTGAACCTTATTATTACAGATTAATCAAACAATGAATATTACATTTTTAAATTACTAATCTAATTAGTCTCTATTGTAAAAATATAACTTTATTATTTATGTCTTTACAGGCTTCTATAAGCTGCGCCAAATACCTGTCAATGCTGTTGCAATTCCTGAGTCACTGATAGGGGCTGACAAAAGATTAAATATTGATGCTCCTTTAAGAGCGAAATACAAAACTGCATCCTAAACAGCAGCAAGTGAGCACTCCTTACAGAGAAACCCCACCAGTGTCTTGTCCTTTCAGTTTTTTTTAAATTTAGTAAACAGGTGATTGTCAACTGGTTAATTCATATATATCAAATATTATATCATATTTGAATATCAGCATGAGATGTAAAATATCCTACAGTAGCTCACAAACTAATAACCTTGTATCTTGTCCACTGATACTCTTAGGTAAAGCTCTTACTTGCGTGCGAGGTAGCCTCTGGAGGCGCTCTGGAAGCGTATGATGGTGTCTGTGATCTTTAGGTCTCTTTCTTCTTCCAGGTGAGCCAGGACTCCAGCTCTAAAGAAGACTTTACTCTGACCCACCCTGAAAAGGTTGTGATCCAGTTCCAAAGCTCTGATCTGAATGAGGAAACGGTGTCCAGTTAACAGTGGATGAAGATTTCCACCATTTGTTATACAGTTTGTCTATTTTTATTGCTATAGAAAAATGACTCACCATGAGTTCTGATGCCTGTTTGCCATCCATGAAAGTGCGAGGGATAGCATTAGGAGTCAGGATCTCATATCTGGAAGACAAATGGGATTTTGTAAGTGTGTGTGTTTGAGACACAGAAAGGGTCATTAGCAGGTGCCAGAGAGAGTGCTTGATGAAGCATTTAGTGTGTGTGTGTGTGTGTGTTTGTGTGTGTCTGTGTGAGAGAGAGAGTGGAGAGAGAGGAGAGGAGAGAGAGAGAGAGAGATGA